AAAATAATTTTTCACACATCTTGTGATGCACTCCCCCTCCCTCCCCCCTCCCCATTTTTAAGTTTTACAATTTTTTCGTGCCCGCTGCCTCCTGCTCTTTAACCTCCTCCCTCTTGTTCTCCTCCTAGCTGTTTCGTCGAGTTGCAGCAGCCCTACCTGGAATGGAAAGCCTGGACGATGCAAATCCTGAAGGCAGTATCCTTTACAGCAGCCGTGACTCACCATGCCGATAGCCAAACAGCCCAGCAATAGGCAGCTTATTTTTAATCTCTTAGTGGCTGCTGGCACACGTACAGATAGACTGCCGAGGAATCAGCCATTAAACCTTTTATGCTTAATAGAGGAGGAACACACAGAGCCAGGAAGATGGTGTGGATGCACAGGCACAGCACCACATAGTGGCTGACAGGGAAGTGACGGCAGAGGAGGGTGTGTGATGGAGGATGGTTGTGTAAGGAAGGTGAGGGATTCTTATCAATAAATGGGAATTATTATATGGAAACTTACAAACCAAGAAACATTTAACTTTAAAGAAGTGCCCTTAAATTGTAGTATAACATATGGATTTGTCTATACTATGAAGCTCAACATATTTTGGTTTGTCTACAGGTCTTGAGGATTGTGGGGAAAACATGGGGCAAAGTTTTTGGGGCCTCAGATGGAGCTGCATAACATTGGATCAGACAAAAAACTACAACTATGGAGGGGAAGGAGATAGAAACAAGTAGTTGTAGCATGCAGGACCTGAGTCCACATTAGCTTACGGGAATCTTTGACTATCATTTGTGGCATGTCTAGGCCAAGTAGTTTACTTCGCCATGTGACTTTTCCTTAACGTGCCAATTTCCAGTGATTGACATCAAGCTGGACAAACCAGCGGAACCAGCTGTGCCTGAGGGCGGGTGCTCATGTTAATGCAGAGCTGCACTTGGACAGCTCCCTTCACACCATAGGCTTGTTGTGTTGCTTACTACTGGTTAGCTTCCAGTTGACTTCTCCAATTGGATATAGGATGTGGGCCTTGTATCTGATTGGACAAATCAAATGTTATCTTTCAGTCTTGTTCAGTTGTAAAATATTGTATACTTTGTCAATATGTAAGTGACTGGAGGAGAAAAGGGAAGAAAACAATTGTTGCAATGAAAATGAACACACACACACTGAAAAAAACAGTTTGGAGAAAAATGAGGAAACCAATGGAGTTCTTTTCGCTGTTATGTTTTGTATTTTTTATATATAAAAAGGGAAAGCACCAAAAACGATGCCTAAACACAGAAGGAGAAATAGCAGGAGGGTCGGCCATTTTTCTAAATAGCTGAACATGTCTGAATGTCTGCAGCACGCATGCACGCTGATCTGATCTTTGACCTTTGGCCTGCCCTACAGGGTTTCCGTGCTCTGGAAGGAGGCTGACTATCTTAGAATGTTTTATAGCATCTCTCTATAGCATCTCATGACAAGACGTATCTCATTTGATATTCCCACAACTTCCAGTAGGATCACCTAACAGTAGCTGTGAAAATGTGGCACTCTATCTCTCTATGGGTTTAACTTTTATAGAACAAGCTGTACTGTGGTTAAAAAAGAAGTAATAAAGAGACAACTTACTATCACAACTCCCTAACCCTCCTAAAAGTCCTCTCCTCTTCCTTCTCTCCTCCCGCTATCCTTCTGTCCTTCCAGTCTCCCCATCCCTCCATCCCGGTAATACACATATAACAATCCACTGTAATGCACCGCACTGTATATAATAATGTAATATGTATGTTGTGAACGTCCCTCTGTAGAAGTGGTCCTTGTTCACCAGTATGAATAATGTAATAATGTTTAATGATTAATAAATTACAAATTAAAGGGCTTCTCTCTCCTAACCATCAACATTTACCTGGTAGCACAATTATCTACTCTTCTATTTTATTTACTTTCTGTTTTTTTCTGAGAAAATGTGAGATATGGCAAGTTGTTGGGAGTTTGCACAAGCAGGTTTAAACCACTACACTAGTTACATTAAATAGAAAACGACAGAATATATTTAAAGTAATTAATAATTAGTAATTAAATAAAATACACAGCTTCATTTACACAGCAAATATTTTTCTTGGGAATAAATGGGTTAGTAACACTTAAGATACGCTAAGACAGCGGTCCCCAACCTTTTTTGGGCCACGGACCGGTTTATGCCCGACAATATTTTTACGGACCGGCCTTTAAGGTGTCGCGGATAAATACAACAAAATAAAACTAGTACCGGTACCGAAAAAAAAGAAGATTTATTCATAACACACGTGAAAAGACCCAGGAAAACCGAGTTAACGATAAAAATGATAACAAAATAACGCTGAAAACCGATAAAAACCCTGAAAACCATACATTTCACACCTGAGCCTCAACTCTCGTGGCCCGGTACCAAACGACTCACGGACCGGTCCGAGGCCCGGGGGTTGGGGACCGCTGCGCTAAGACACTGATAGCATCTAAGTTTAAGCTATGAACACAATTGGACCTTAGGTATGCAGCATTTACTTACAATATTTAGTGTTTAGTTATGTTGTGTACCAGGTTTTTGTGTTTTTAATGACTAAATATGAAAATCTAATGAGCACTTCATGTGTCTTATGCAGATATCAGTTGTTAACTGGTAGCTAGCCAATTTAGCTGTTATCTAACTCTTAACATTAACAATCAAGTAAAAAACACTAAATAGTGTAGCCTCACCAGTTTGTTGTTTTTTATGAGTACCCTTTTGTGACATTGCCTGGTGACATAAATTGAAATTATATTTGCTTTACCTCATAGGAAACCTCAATTGACATTTTAGCTACAGTTTAGCTTAATTAGCTAACTGGTTGGAAAAGAGACAAACTATGGACTATTCCTAAAACATGAAAACATTCATAACTTCCTCACAACTATGAAATGAAAATGAACAAAAGTAGTCTCTGAGAATAAGAGACTGGACCAGTATAATCTCAGACCCTTCCAGATGCCTGTATTACGCATTAGCTCACCATACTCAGGGTGTCTCTCTGTTATCTGGAATCACTTAGCCTAACATTGGCAATCAATGAAGATGGTTTTTCAAAGGACGATGAAACAGATGAGAAAATATGAAGTCTGAAAGCAACACAGCAGTGTGTGAGTGTAAAAAAAACCCCAGAGTAATATCATATTAACAGTATGTGGATTAAGTGCTTTAGTCTGTAAGACTGGAAAACAGCAGCAATATTAATAAAGTTTTTCCAGGAATGAGAGCTGGTGAAAATGCAGATTGTGTAAGTTAACAGATTCATCAATATTAGCAGCTCTATCATTAAGACATGGGAGAACCTGATGGATTATAAAAAGTATTACATTAAATCAATGTTTAAAAGCAGCTATTAGGTACTAGTTGATCTCTAACCTGAAACTACAGGTAGCATATCATATTAATTATAAGTCACTTTACCCGTTACCATATATCCTGGTAAGAAATGATCCACCTTCACAGTACTGTAAACTCAGGGTTAATCCTGAAGTCACCCAGATAAGATTAAACCCTGCTTCATAATACAGGCCTCAGGTCTCTGTATCTCATTTACAAACAAACTTTCAAAGAATCTAAGACTTGAATTCTTCGCTGCGGGAGATTTTATACTGACCTTGTCACATTTTTGGATGACCGTTTCCATCTCATATGGTTTGGCACACAAACCACAGATGATTTTTTTGGCTACTAAAGCAGTAGCTTTTTTTAATGCTTAACTTAGTTGGCCATCTTCTGGCTTTGGCTTTGGAGTGAACTAAGGGACTTAGTGAGCATATTTCTCAAGCTACCCAGTTGTTTCCTAACCTTATTTATGAGTTAAAGTAATTGGATACTCTAGCATTTAGACCTAATGGATATTTACATGACATGAAATTGAATTAGTGGAAACTGCAGGCAAATGCTCTCTAGTAAATGACAAGCCCGAAGCCTTGACCTTAGACGAGTTTTATTTTACCATTCTCTTGTGTATTTGGAGGAGAGACCGGTTCCTCTTTGTTTAGGCCTTTTTAGTAGAATAATGAGAATTGGAGGAACAAACTAACAGAATAACAACTGCATAAAGCATAGTAGGCTACCAGTCATGCAATCAGTCTGTCAGTCATTAAACTGTTTACAGTGTTAATGTTCTCCTGTCTGTGGCGAAGTCATAATTATCACACTAATGCGGAGTTCCCTGTGGTGAGTCAGTGTGTGAAAACCTGACAGGTGAGGGGAAGTTGAGGTGGAAAGAACCTTTTAAGAAGAAAACTGTCACACATCAGGTCACTTCACTCTGCTCTCCTGATGTAAGAGGACAGGTATTCCCCTGGATGAAGGCCGTTAGTGCTGTTAGTGGACAAATGAACTCAAAAGAGACAAAAGGTCCAGGGCTGGCCTCCCTGGAGGGAAGTCTCAGAAATGAAAGGCTGGTAGCTTCATTTTTTTTCATAGAGTCATAGATGCGTTATTAAAAGCACAAACACAGGATGAAAAAAAATACAGGAGTTTTTAAGATATGGCTTATGCTTGTATGCAGTCAGCATGAAGCAGTGCACCTTCCCTGTGAGGGACACACCCCCCACATCTGAAATTCTTCATCTGTGGTCTCAGACCGTGTCAAGTCATTTCTCACTTGCACACAAAAGAAGATCATGTCAAGAGTCGAGGTGTTTAGGGACACAAACCTCCGCTCGCTGCTGAGGGAGCTGCGAACTGACATTGCTATGGCTGTGGATGACCCTTTCCCCCTGGTCTATGGTTTGGCGGACAAAAACATCATCACAGAGCAGCTGCTGAAGGTAAGAAACTGAACAGAGATTGGATATCCGTATTAATTGTGTAAACCTTAATTTTGATTTGAAATAATTTTTTTATGCTACTTTAAGCAAGTATCGGGCTGCTTCCATTAAAGGATATCAGTGCTGAACTTTCAGTCTTCAAACTCATAAACTTAATGTGTCTATAGGAGACTCTGGAGAAAGAGGCTAGAGAAGGCATCCACAAGGCCATGTACTCCCTCCTGTCCTGGGTGTTGGAGCAGAGCAGATCCACTGTCCAGGCCTTCTTGAACAACTTATCCAAAGACTATAATCTGGACAGCTACCCCAGGCTGCAGACCCTGCTCACTAACCTGGATTCCCGTATGTGACACACAGTTTACGACAAAACATTTGACACACACAAATAAATCTACATCTATACACTTGTTATAGGCATGAATGTCATAATCATTTTGTCATGGTGATTGACACGATAAGTTCATGATTCCTATTAAGGAATAAACTATTGTTCTCCCACGATGGAATGATTGTACATCATACATCTATTGTGACTTCAAAATGACAAGAATTGAGTGCACAAGTTTTACTTTATGTTAGATTCACACAGGCTCAAATATATGGATCCGTACACCCCCATTAATATTTGGTTAAGTGCCCCTCAGCAAGATGCACCTCGACCAGATGCTTTTGGAAGCCATCTGGCATAATTCTGATGGGATGTTTGAATGGTGCTCTTGGCAAATTTGGAAGATTTTATTAAAATTGGCTGGTTTCCTGGCATGAACCCGGCTTTTAAGCGTAGCCCACAAATTTATTGGGAATTTTGGAAGGTCAGTATCTTAATGTTAGCTTGTTTTTATCTATGCTAAAACCATTTTGTGTGTGTGTGAGTGTCTGTGTGTGTGTTTGGAAAATTAAATTACGTCCAAGTTTCAACCATCTAATTCCCAATTTGAGGTGAAGTCAAAGAATTTGGATGTAGTCCTCCTCTTCATTATTCCATCCACTCTTGAAATCTGTCATTACCACTGGCAGCAAAACAGCCCCAGAACATGATGCCACCACCACGCTTGATAGTTAGTACAGTGTTCTTAGGTTTGAAAGCCTCACCTTTACTCCTCCAAACATACCTCTTGTCACTATGGCCAAGTAGCTCAATCTTTGTCTTGTCTTTTGCCAGACCTTAGTAAAGTGGTCACCTGAATAACTTGTCCCTATGTACAATTGTCTGAATTTATCTTGGAATCTGCAGCTGTTTAAAAATGGCTGCAAAAGACAACTTGTGTAAATCTAATAGTCTCCTTATTAGAGTTTCTTGGACTTTCCAGTCTTATTGCCAACACAATGAGTGCTGTCAAACAAATCCTTTTTAAAGAGAACTAGTGGCGGTAGTCAACCAGTTAATAGGTGAGTATATGTATGTATTTTGGTCTGTATGTATACTTTTGAACCCATGTGAATTAGAGAAATATAAATAAATAGTTTCTAGTGCTCACTATTCTTGTTTAGATTTTTTATCTGTTTATTTAGAGTCAATAAAGATGATGTACAGTTAAAAGAACAGTTCAAAGAAATCATGAAAAGACCAAAATTCTATGACGTTCCTGCCCATGATGAGCGTCTGAGGATCCTCAGAAGAATACTCTACTGTACCAGTGTCGAATAACATTCAGCACAAACTGACATTCCTCAGATTTTTTTCTATTTTTTCTTATTAATTTACAAAAGCAATAAAACCTCAGTTGCATCTGTTGCACCAGAGCTGAAAACAGTCTCTCGGGACAATTTTCTGTCACATTTAGACTCTAATGGTTTACATTGTTGCTGATTTTGTTTGACAGGAAGGGAGACTGCAGGTTCCAAACATGAAAACAGACCATCTGGAGGTCACAAACCTCCTCACAGTAAGAAGAGGAGCCATGCGGATCGAGAACTGAGCTCCCAGCGGTCACAGTATCATGCCAAGACAACCGATGGAGGAGGTCATCTCCCATACTGCACTTGCTTTGTATCATAATAGGCTTATTTTGGCAATCAAAAGATACATAGGCTTCACAAAGAATTAACCTGGAATACTCTAAAACGCACATGACTGTGCTGTCTTCATTATAAGGTCTTATCTACTCTGTTTAAGGAAGTAAAGTGAAGCTCTACAGAGTGAAGAGTGAAGCTCCTGGCTCCAAGCTGCCACCTGAAAACAGTAATTATCATAAAAATAAATATATTAAATACTTTTATGCCACGAATACATAACCAAACCTATTTTCTGCTTCAGGTGTGCAAGTACCGTCTTCCACAATCCAGAGAGGAGTCCACCTGCCCTCTTCATCCTCGTCCTTCTCGGCTCCCTCCACGGATCCCCCAGTCAACCATGATAACCAAGAAAAGGTGCATGTTATGCAGGCATATTGTTTGGAAGGTAAGTCATATAATGAATATGTGAACTTCTTTTTTCAGAAAACTGAAGCAACATCAAACTATGAATGTGAAAACACAGACCTAACTAAGCTTTAACCTTTATGCAAGATTTTCCCCTTTAAAACCCACTGTCATTTAACAGGGGCCACCAGAGAGCCCATTAAAGCTGGTGGGGGTCTGTCAGAGGAGACAAATGCATCAAAGTCCAAGTCTGCTAAGAGCACATTTCACCACCAGGTGGAGACAGCCACACGCATGGTAGACGCTGTAATCCCCTCACTCTTGCTTGTGCTTTATATGAATGTGGGTGCCTGCTTATCTATGTTACATTTATCGGCCTGTGTTTAGATTCATTACAATGATGATGAGTGTACAGTGTGTAAGGATGGAGGGGAGCTGATCTGCTGTGACGGTTGCCCTCGAGCTTTTCATCTGGCCTGCCTTGACCCTCCACTCTCGTCCATACCAAGGTGAAGAATAATGTGCTGGTGTGCCGAGATGTTTTTTTTTGCTTTGAGAAAGAGGTTATAACTTTACATTATCTGCAGTGGCTCTTGGCAGTGTGAGTGGTGCCGTGGACACAGGGTGAAAAAAGAGAAAGCACAGCTACCCTTACAAGTAAGTTCCTGAAGGAAGGAAGCAGGAAATGTGCACATACTGAATCCACTGAATAACCTACAGTACTGTGAAAAAGTCTTCAACGACCCTCATTTCTTTATATTTTGCTAGGAAAATGGGGAATGGTTTCAGCAATTTGTTAAAACATGAGCAAACATACATAGAAATGCAGTAATGCAGTCAATATTTGGTATGACCACCTTTATTCTTCAACACAGTCTGAACTCTCTTAGCCAGCCGTCTGGTATTTTCTTTAAGTAGTCTTCAGGAATAGTTCTCCAAAAGTTCTTCTTGAAGGTTTTTTTTCTTCTGATTTTAGCTGCTCTGGGCTCTGGTCTGGCTAATCCATGACTGATAATGTTGCATTGTGTGTTCTTTCAATCCAGGTGTGCATTCACTGCATTGGCAATGTGTTTGGGATCATTGTGATGATGAAATATTATCCTTTTCTCGATCAGACACTTTCCAGATGGCACTGCATATTGGATCAAAATCTGTTGCTACCTTTCTGCATTCAAGATTTCAACATTTTTGACAAGATTCCCAACACCACTAGCTGAAATGCAGCACCAAACCATGACAGAGCTTCCACTGTGTTTTACAGATGGCTATAGACACATTGTTGTACCTCTATCCTGACCTCCTCTGTACATGATGTGAACCAGACGTTTTAGATTTGGATCACTCCAGGACACCCGTGGTCTTTGGCTTTCTGTCATTTAAAATTTTTTTATTTAGCATACCTCTCTTTTTCCCTTCCTTAAGAACTGCTTCTTGACAGCCACTGAGACCATTTGCATCTGCTGCAGATAGTTTTTTGGGCCTGACATTTTTTCTTTTGTCCTCCACTTGTCGATTGCTTTTTAAGGACACACTGCGCACCATGCTGAGATATGCCTGGTTTTTGGCTAGTAGCTTTTGGGGAATCATCTTGTTGGTGCAAAAATGTGCTATCTTCAGCATTTTTCATAGATTCAGCAAAAGAAATGAACAAATTATGTGACTAGACTGAAAATGAGTAGACAAAAAGCAGCTGAAGAAAACTTTAAAAGGCCTTTGGAAAGCCTGGAGAGCTATTGCTCAAGGCCACCAAAAATTCCTAGAAAGTCTGGGAGTCTTGCGAGAAAAACATAAAGAAGTGAGCAGCGGCCCAAGCCTCTGAGTCACCCCTAGTACTGACTAGTACTGTGTGGTCATTTTTAAATGTGAGAATCTTTCTGCTCATAGCAACTTATATTTTCAGTACGTTTCATGTGTAAAAGAAAACTCATGGCTCTCACACCCTGTCTGGTATTTCCAACTTTAGTAATTTGTATTTACGTAGTTTAGGATAATAAGTCACAGTAAAACTTGAAGACTTGTTTACAAAAAAAAGTTTTAAGGGCTTTGGTAAACACTGATGCTTTTTCTAGAACTGATCATAGTCTAAATATTTGCATTCAGGCTCTCTCAGCTCATCCTCAGCAAACAAACACAAACTGCAGTAACTCCATCACCGATGTCTCATTCTACTCATCGCTGTCATCCTCCCTCACAAGCGTCACGGCGACGATGAGTGCGTCAGGTGGCAGAAACCAGGTGACCTTCTACATCATTCACCCATTTTTTTTAATCAGTTCAGCTTCCATCAGCCTCATTCTTTTTCCGCCTCTGCAACATGTAAAAATAGTCACACTTGATGCATGTATAAATTTGTCTCCAGTGCTCGGGTGGAGAGCTGGTTGGTGTGAGGGAGGTGTGCGGTATTTGCCACCTTGGAGGAGGAGATTTGACCCACTGCTTTCAGTGTCTGAAGCATTTCCATGTAAACTGCCACTTTTCCAAGTAAGAAAACCACTAATTTCTTCTTCTGACTGTAGAAGAAAGATTTTTAGGAGATGACAGAGAGCGTTTCCCCTGAGCTCCTGAAATCCTAATCTCAGCATCATCTACATTAGAAGAAAAAAACATTTGGGGCTCTCTGAGAACTTCCTGTATGTTGGTATTGACCACCAGTGTGCATTAAGGGTGTGCGCTTTCAATAATCTCTCTTGGGATAATGGTGGCTAATGGATTGTAAGTGGAGCCCTTGCAGCTGAGTAGTGAGCAATGTGAGCGAGGTTCACAATGATTTTACACAACGATAACACAGATACAACAAATTAAAGCCGAATCCATGTGATAAGCTCTCGTGGCTCCTTTTTATGTTGATTAAAAACACAGTATTAACCAAAACCAAGCGATAAGAAGAAAAAGCTTCCCTTTTTTAATTAATTAGGGCCCCAAGTTTCATGTAAACAGTTTATTTTCCCAGCTGGAAGGGTTTGAACAGCTTCCTGTGTCAGAAATGACATATTGATTGAGAGAAACCTTATACACCACGGAAATGTTCACTCAAAGCATTTGTGTGTTTCTAAGAGGGAGGTCCATCTGCCTGTCCTGCTCCAGACTGTGGGGCAGCTCTGCTGAGAGAGAGGCTGAATCCAGAGGCGGGCAGGTGTGTCTCCACATGTACACACCTTGAAAAAGAATTTACAACCTTTATTATCTTAATACCACCGAATACTCTATGTAATCTCTCCTGTGTGTGTGTCTGTGTGTGTTTGTCTTCAGCTTGCACCTCTGGCTCAAAACACACTTAGTCATGATCAAAGCGCCTCCCTCTCTGAGCCCATCCACCATAAAGATGAACTGGACTCCATCCTGGGAGACGTGAGTGGAGATCAGTTACATGTCGATATCACAGATGCAGGCAGGGTGCAACAGTTCACGTCAGACACAAGATGACTGTTTCCTTATCACAGAGACAGTCAGTGAGCTGTCGGGGTAAACAAAAAGCACCGAGGACAAAACATTAGGCGATTTGGAGCAGCTTGTCCTGATGTTGTTAGCTGTGATTTTGGGCCTGAAATATGTGTACAGAAGTTTCACAGATGTGTACAGATGTGTGAGTTCTTCTTGGCTTCACTGGGCTCACAGTCTTGATTTGGGTGCCTCTGTTTTTAGCCCCTACCTGCTGACTATTTAAATAATTTACAATTCAGAAGCTAAATTTTCGAGTTACAGTGAACTCTAAGAAGGTTTGCATTATAGATGGCAGATTGATTGATTAAAGGATTTATATTTACCTAATATGTTACTAAATCTATGACAAATAGACAAATAGGTGTTCAGCAGTTAATCCTATTGTGTTTTCTTCTCTTCACTGCAGCAGAGCTCCATTGATGGCATCTTACAGTGGGCTTTCCATAACATGTCTCGTCCTCTTCCAGGCTCTCAGGGATGCTACCAGTGACAGAGAACCAGGAATGCAACACTGTAAATCAGCAATGATGAAATCAGTGTGTAGCTGATTAAAATGAGCTCACTAAATATGGGTGCTGATTATTTGCTTCTTTCTCACTGCTTGTTAAAACAATTCGGTGACTTTTGATTGAATGTTTCATACACGAGTCATGTTTTCCACCCAAAAAAATATGAAAGGTTATGTGAGAATAAATCATAATATGAAATGTATAGAAATGGATAGTTGAACCCTAATCATGTATGTAGAAGATCTGAATGTACAACACGGTGAACCTTGAAGCAGATGGTCTACAGCAGCAGACCAAACCAGGTGCCACTTCTGTCAGCTGTGAACAGAAAACTGAGACTACAATATTCACAGGTTCACCAAAATTGAACAAAAGATTGGAATAACATTGCCTCATCGTATGAGTCTCGAATTCTGCTGCAACATTTAGATGATAAAGTCACAATTCGGGGTAAACCACAATAAAGCATGCATCCCTCTTGCCTTGTATGCCTGCCATGTAACAGTTCAGGCTGCTGGTGGTGGTGAAATGGTTTGGGGGACATCGTTTGCACACACTGGGTCCCTTATGAACAGTTGAACCTTGTTTAAACATCACAGCCTACCTGAGTATTGCTGTTGGCTTAGTTGCAGCATACCCATCTTCTATGACTGCTTCCAGGAAGATAACACCTGTCACAAAGCTCAATTCACCTCAAACTGGTTTCTTGAACATGACAATGCTCTCAGTGTACTCAAATGGCTTCCACAGGCACCAGATCTCAATTCAATAGAGCCTCTTTGAGACATCATGGATGTTTAGCCCACGAATCTGCACCAACTATGTGATACTATCAAGTCTGTATGGACCAGAATCTCAGAGGAATGTTTCCAGCAGCTTGCTAAATCTGTGCCATTGAGAATTAAAACAGTTCTGAGGAAAAAAAAAAAAAAAAAAACGGGTCCAGCCAAATACTGCCTAATCAAATGCACTTAATAAAGTGGTCATTGAGTGTATATAACCCAAGCCAAGCTCACTGACCTCAGTGCTGTGTGTATGCGACCATTTGCCTCCAAGTTTCCATGGATTTCAGTGCACTTCTCTGATGACATACTGCTTTATTGTGATTATTGATGGAAAATATGCACTGTGCAATAAAACCACTGGCCTGAAACTCCTGATTTAACATTGGACCTGTGACAAGTTACAGCTGCAAAATTAGCTTGTAATGCTGCTCTTGCATTAGCTACTCTTGGTCTTAACTGATAAAATAAATGTAGTTACATAGTTAAATACCAATACCAGCCTTTCTGTAATGCTTTGCCTACTCTTTAATCTTTTAGTTCTGTCTTATTTTCCCTGCATAATAACCTCACGACTCAGCACTTGTGTGGGAGACATGGCAATGGGCCACTGATATCTCTGCTCATACAGATTGACCCTAACAACTGTTTGTCAGACTCGTCATACGCACATACGTATTTGCATACACACAAGTGTGTGCATTTTGGCTCTAAAGAACCGCAGGTGCTGTTCTTTAATGTGTTTATACACACAGGGAAACTAGACAATAGTATGATAATTTCAAGTCTCCGCACCTTATTTTTCCCTGCAAATCACAGACAGATGTGCTTATACAAGAAGAAAGTGTGTTATAGTAAATTAATACCCACATGCACACATGCACAGTGGTGAAACACAAAGAAAAACAGACAATGTAAATGTCTGCATGTGCCCAAAGTCATTTTCTCTCACTGCTTTGGATCTGCAGTTGAATTTACATTCACACGTTACGCCACATGGTTTCAATACAATGAGGTATGCACGCCGAGAAATGCCTCGATTTAACAGGAATTCCTTCAGGACTATATCACTTCAGTGAGGAATGTTGTTTTTGTCATGCTATTCATGAGTTTTAGCATGACTGCCAGAAGGATGGAGCTCAGCCAGGCAAATTTTTCTCCCCTCGGTATTCGGTTGCCATGGCTCAGAGCTCCTACAGACCCAAAACAGAGGATGAGAAACATGTTTTCAGTGTGTGTGTGTGTGTGTGGTTGGATCTGTGAATGTACAGCTCTGTTTATTTATCAGCCTGCTTTCCAAATAGTTCATGAAACATCTTGCATACTTGAGGCCTCTGTGCCTTTGTCAATATCTGACACGGAGAAGAGAAAAAGTTTGCGAGAAACATTTTATGCCTGAGAATGTCAAATTCTGGCACTGCTGCAGGTTTTCCATCTTAATTTTTACAGTGTAAGTAATGTTTTTACTTGAGGTTTACTAACACACCATCCTCCTGGGGGTGGGTGCAAGCCACATAAAAGACCACATGGAAGAAACTGATAAAACATTCAAAGAGCTTTTCAGTCCAGGGGGGAAAAAAACACCTTCTCGCCACTAGGTGGATCCCACCTGTTTTTGAGGCTTTGTACGGGAACATAATTCTCACCGCAGCATGATAGCAGGAAGTAGGCTATTTTCTCCCACAAAACAATGTTTGAGCTTGTAGCGAAGTGGGGACTGCCGAGATTTGATCTTAGGCTAAGGCACCATTTCCCCATACAAGTGATAACATTACAGCAAAAATAGATTTCAGATGGAGATACTCTATTGTTGATTCTATTTATGTCACAGCTGTAACTGTTGGTGACTTGTAAAATCAGCATTACGAAAGGTGCATGGTGAGTTTGTGAAACATTTTCTGCTGTTTCAGACACTGAAAATACCTCAGGCCACCGAACTCAAGAAATATTCATGCCCAAAATTTAAATAACAGGATTACATGTAAATTTTCCATGTAATTTAAGAAATCTGCTAAGAAGTCATGTTTTTGTGTAAAATCACACAGATGTTTGGTGTGTCTGTTATCTACTGAGTAGTGTTGTGTTATAATGGTCTGATTGTGTCTCATCTCCTGTGTTGCATCATATCTCTTCTCAAGTTTTACATACTGTTTTTCTTGCTTCACGGCATTCCTATATGACGTCTAATGAGGAGGAGAGGTCACAGACGTTATCTGGAGTATTAGTAATGTGTTGTTTAAGGCTTAGGTCATGGCCTTATTATGTCTGCTTCTCAAAAACCTCAAACACTGGACCATTGTTTCGCTATTGGTAGCAAGCTAAACAAATATTAAAGATGTTTCTTTATTCTAAGCCGCTGTAATTGTGTCACTGTTTCATCACACTTGTATGGGAATGTTTTAGCGTTTATTTGGCGAGACTGGATGTTTCTCAGATGAGAGTTTTACGTTTTTGAAAGTGGTTGAGCAATGATTACAAAAACAAATAGGCGCAAGAATCGTGTCTACACCCACTTTTCTGTGTCAGTCAGTGTGAAGTCAAAAGGTTAAATTGTCTAAACACACGCATCCTGTTACAACTACGTTCATCACAGGCCAGGAATTCTTTGGAAAAATATGATAAGTGAAATTCCCACGCTTTGGGCATCCTCTCTCTTTGGACAAGTTAAAGTTGTGGGCAGCTTTCCAGCGTGTGTCCCTGCTGGGCCAAGGCAGTCCAGGTCTAAAGAGCTGAAGCCTCTGCGACTTCCAGTCATGACCCTTCGCTCTTTGTTCGCACTATTGTTATGGGCAGGAAATTGCAAGGGGCCCTGCTCAGGTTTGGCATGAAACTTCGGAGCAGAATGTGCTACTTCTTTAAAACCCTGAGTAACAGCAGCACCACTGCGAATAAAAGAAACCATTTTAACACACTGAGTAATGAGCAACCTTTTAAATGACTAAACTAAGATTGTATAACTATGACCCACGTGAATGTGGGTCATAGTTGTTTATATAGAGCTAAAGACCCATAGTTTATCTTCTGATAGGTGTTAACTTCCCCACAGGCATTTTTATTTACAATCTCAAACGCTCATTGTCTTTCATTTGTATGGACTGCTAGGACTGTAAGCTCTGCCCTCTGATTACTGATTTTCTGCCTCACTGACCACTTCATTAGGTAAAACTTGCTAGTACCAAGTTGAGCCCCCTGTCTCTTTCAGAACGGTCTACATGCACAGATTCAACAAAGAAACATTCCTCAGAGATTTTGGTCCATATTTACATTATAACATCACACAGTTTTTCCAGCTGCACATCAATGATAAGAATCTCCTGTTACACCACATCCCAAAGGTGCTGTATTGGATTGAGATCTGGTGACTGTGGAGGCCATTTGAGTACAATGAAATCATTGTCATGTTCAAGAAACCAGTTTGAGCCTTGAGACATGGTGAACTTTCCTGCTGGAAGCAGCTGTCAGAAGGTAGCCACACTGTGGTCATAAAGGGAGGAGAACAATACTCAGGTAGGCTGTGACAATTTAAACAATGCTCATTTGGTGTAATGGGGCACAATATGTGTGCCACACATTACCCCACCAGCAGGCTAAATTGTTGATGCAAAGCAGGACGTATTCAAGCTTAGGCCAAAACCCTACCACCTGAATTTGAATGTAAGAACAAAAGTTTTAACACTCATCATATCAGGCAATGTTTTTTGATCTTTCATTGTCAGTTTTAAGAACATAAACTGTTGCCTCAAACTCTTATTTTTTAGCCATTCTGTACTTAAGTAAGAGTAAAGATACTAGTGTTGAAAAATACTCAAGTAAAAGTGAAAAAGTCTCTGAAATGTACTCAAAGAAAGTTAAAAGCAGCTTTTTGGAGGACATGTCTACTAGCTATTGTTGTGCAAAGCTAACTGAGCCTTGTGATATATTAATGTATTAATGTAATAATAAAATAGTATCAGTAGATGGGAATAATAAAAAAAATTACTCAGGTTGAATCATTCTACTAAATGATTCAACCTGAGTAAGCAGAGAAAAAGTAGGACAATTTAAAAAAAACGAAGCTCTATTTTCTTTGCCACTAAACAGGAAAATGTGTACAGTCAGGGGTTACAGTGGGATTCGGTGGGTGGGGGAACTCTAAAACCAGTTTTAATGGCTCAGCCTGAGGAAAAGAACTAACAATGATTTCTATTGAGAGCTCTTAATGTATCAGTTGTGATCAGCTGCTCTTCTTTACAGATTTATACATCTGAATTTAACAAGGTGTAAGCA